CTTGCAAATGTGAACGATGAATTGTTGTTGCTGTAAGCAACTATAAACGAAATATTAATGTCTTTTTTTGAAAACTTAATTTATAAGTCTGGTGCTAAGTTCACAAAAGTCATATGAGTTGTAAATTTCGAACTACGAATAGTGTATGAATTATGCATACTTTGGCTAGCTTTAGAAAAAATAGTTATCTTTTATTTGTCGCTTATTGATTGAATTAAGTTATCTGTTTGTTTGACGCATTTGTTCTATACGCGATTTAAATCTTGTGATGAAAACTGGCGTATGTGACATAAATTACTTAATGAAATGTCACGATTGTGACTCATTCAAGTATCCCCATTCTTCTTTAACCATATCTGCTAGTTTTTCAGCAATCATGTAAATAGGTATATTAGTATGCGCCGATATAATCTCTGGCATGATAGAACCATCTGCTACTCGCAATCCTTGAACGCCGATTACCTTGTACAAAAAAGTTAATAAATTATTAATCGATACATACACATTTATTTTTATACATCGGAATATTTGTTGTAGCAAAAGCTTTACAAAAAATTATTGTAATATAATAATAAAATTATTGTAATGTGTTTTTTGACAAATACCTTTAGTCTGGGATCAACAACAGCGGTTGGATCTCCTCTTGGTCCCATCTTGCAAGTGCCAGAATAATGATAGATAGTGAGAGACAACGTTCTTACTGCGCAATCCCAATAATCATAAGAATCATATTCATAATTTTCGCATCCGGGAATAGTATCGTTTATCAATCGCGAACCGAACATCCGCATCGCTTTTGTTTGACCGACGGTCATCGCGGCTTTAATACCGGCGATCATTGTTTCGACATCTTCCGGATTATCGAAATAATTCGGCACGATCTCGGGTTTAACGTTGACATCATTGGCTAATAATTTTATCTGTCCGCGACTCTTTGGTTTCAACAACATTGGTAATATAGTCCAACCATATTTTTCGATATATTTGCTCGATGCTTGACGCATTCGAGTGTCGAGACCGTGTATAATCGGAAAAACAATATCTCCTTTGTACAAACCACCGAAAAACAACAGTTCGATATCCGGTAAACCGATACGTTTCTTTGGATACTTGGTGTTGATAAAAGCAAGAGCTTCGCATCCACCTGCCATTGTGAGCGGTCCCGATCGTCTTAACAGAAAGTCTGATATATACGGAAGAGTGGGGTTTATCATGTCACTCAGTCGCAAACTTATCGGCTCGTCTATCAGCCATGTTAACCCGCCGTAAGATACGTGATCCATTAAATTCTCACCGACCGGCGCGTCCCGTATAACATTTATGCCGAGTTCGGTAAGATGTTTGGCCGGCCCAATACCCGACAACATCAGTAATTGAGGTGATCCAATGGCACCTGCGCACAAAATCACCTCTTTTCTCGCGAATACGCGGATACTTCGACTATGTTTGATGAATTCAACGCCG